TCCCCCCCTCCCCCCCAGCCCCCCTCACCAGCGCCAGCTCCGGGTCAGCGCTGGGATCGACCCCGAACTCGAAGTCGCTGGCGCCGAGGCCCAGGATGGCCCCTCCCTCCCCGGCCAGGATGGGGGAGCTGATCAGCGCGTCCGCCAGGCTGGGCCCCGGGGGCACCGTCACCAGGTGGGAGCCGCTGCCGTCCTTCCCGTTCAGGGTGTTGATAAAAGCTGTCAGCTTGTCCGTGTTGGCTTCCTAGGGCCACGGGCACAGAGCTCAGCCCCTGGGCCTCCCTGCTCCGCCGGGAGCTCCGGCGTTCCCAGCGGGATGGGAAGCACCGGAGGCAGTGGGAGCTCAGAGGTGTGTCCTGGGGGGAATGTGACCCCCCAGGGTTGTCACCGAGGTTTGGGGAAGGGATCCAAAGCCCTGGCTTGGATCTGGTGCCAGAAGCAGGGAGGAAGTCTCACCTCTTCTCCGAAATTGATGATGTCCACGTTGACTTTCTCCTTCTTCAGCCGCTTTGCCAGTTTCACCAGCTGCAAGGAGGAGACAGGGTGGGATGAGCTGGGGGTTCAGCTCTTGGCCAGAAACCAGGCAGCAGCAGCACTCGGGATTCCATCCTGGAGGCTCAAAGCCCAGAGGCAGCTTCCAGCCCCTCCAGCAGGAGGTGGGACAGGACCACACAGGAGCTGTTCCTGCAAGTCACTGTCCCCATCGACAGGGACAGCAGGAGCCTGGGACAGGCCACATCTCCTCACATTTCCAACTTGTTCTTCAAGGAGCCCCATAGCATCTGGATTAAGGTCACTTGTGTTACTCTAAGTGCCAAGGACAGTGTCTCCCAAAGCCTGAGAGCCCTGGCTCAGCCCAGGGACACTGATCCCAGCTCCTCAGGCAAAGTCCTTCAGGGGACAGCTGTGAGGTGCAGGACGTGGCACGAGCTCCCTCAGGAGCCACCTGAGCTGGGGCAGGAACAATCCCACACAAACCAGTGGGAGGTGGGGATCCCTGGCTGTGCCCAGGGCTCCAGCCACAGGCCCAGCAGCTCCCCTGCCTGCCCAGGACTCACATCCTTCTCGTTGTCCTCCACGGGGCTCCCCACGAAGGCGATGATCCTCATCTTGTGGTTCTTGCCTTGGCGGTGCTTCAGGGCCAGCTGCAGGACACGAGCCACACTGTGCCCAGGGGGCCCTGCCAGCCACAGCCCAGCCCAGGCCAGAGACACCCCGAGGCAACCAGGGAAGGAGCCCAGACCACTCACATGAGCAACTCTGATCCCAGTGCAGAAGGTGATTTTCCCTTTGGGCTGCACCGTGTGGAGCTTTGAGAGGATCCGGCCCGTGTCTGGGGTCAGGGTGGTCAGCACCTCACAGTTACTGCAACACAAACACTCACCTCACCCACCTCTTCCTTGAGAATCCCTTGGAAAACCCCCTTCCCTGCTGTGGGAATGAGAATCCCCCTTCCTGCCCACCCTGCAGCTGCTTTGGCTCCAGGGGAGCTTGCCCAGGAAACGAGAGTTTTAACCTGGTACCCTAAAAACAGCCTCAAAATCATCAGTCTGCACAAGGGCTCGTGTGCCCCTGTCCCCTGTCCCAGCAGCTCTAGGCCCACGGGCCCTTTTTACTTGACTCTGCCTAAGAAGGAGCTCATGGAGGCACTGAAATCCTGCAAACCTCAGGAAAAGGGAGGATTGACTCTCCTGGGGCCGACAGGCCCAGCAGCTCCCCTGCCTGCCCAGGACTCACATCCTTCTCGTTGTCCTCCACGGGGCTCCCCACGAAGGCGATGATCCTCATCTTGTGGTTCTTGCCTTGGCGGTGCTTCAGGGCCAGCTGCAGGACACAAGCCACACTGTGCCCAGGGGTCCCTGCCAGCCACAGCCCAGCCCAGGCCAGAGACACCCCGAGGCAACCAGGGAAGGAGCCCAGACCACTCACATGAGCAACTCTGATCCCAGTGCAGAAGGTGATTTTCCCTTTGGGCTGCACCGTGTGGAGCTTTGAGAGGATCCGGCCCGTGTCTGGGGTCAGGGTGGTCAGCACCTCACAGTTACTGCAACACAAACACTCACCTCACCCACCTCTTCCTTGAGAATCCCTTGGAAAACCCCCTTCCCTGCTGTGGGAATGAGAATCCCCCTTCCTGCCCACCCTGCAGCTGCTTTGGCTCCAGGGGAGCTTGCCCAGGAAACGAGAGTTTTAACCTGGTACCCTAAAAACAGCCTCAAAATCATCAGTCTGCACAAGGGCTCGTGTGCCCCTGTCCCTTGTCCCAGCAGCTCTAGGCCCACGGGCCCTTTTTACTTGACTCTGCCTAAGAAGGAGCTCATGGAGGCACTGAAATCCTGCAAACCTCAGGAAAAGGGAGGATTGACTCTCCTGGGGCCACCCATGAGCTGCAGTGACAGCTCAGCCCTTGTTTGCCACCCTCTGGGACACGAGGCCACCAAGGGACAGGCCTAGCAGAGACTTCCTGAGAGTGAAAAACCCCCACAGCGTATCCCAGCACCACAGGAATGAGCCCAGGAGGCCACAGACCCTCCAGGAACCAGGTTTGCTCCTACCAGCCTGCCCAGCACAGCTGGTTTGGCTTCAGAATGTCCCGTTCCTGCCCCATTTCGCAGCGCTGTCCTGCTCCCTGTCCCTGGGCTCTCTCCTGGCCCCCCAGGCTGGTTGGCCCCCCAAGTTTACTTGGCTAAGGTGATGAGCCCCACGTTGTTCTCGGGGTTGCTGCGGGTCTTGGAGTGGCACACGATGTTGACAGCATCTTGCTGGGCTTGCAGACGGGTGGGCAGGAAGTCCCCGTTCCTCATGTACTCACTGTTGTCCACACTGGAACACAGAGGGGAGGGGGCTTGTCAGACACTCCAGGTTTCTCCCCAAAACGTGCCTTTTTGGGGCAGCACACCAGGGGTCACAGAGCTGGGGACACACAGCAGGACACAGACCTTTCCCAGGACAGAGAGACAAGTCACCTCTGTGTGTCCCTGAGTTCCCAGATCAGATCCAACCCACAGGACAAACCCCCAGAGAGCAGCTGAGCCACCAGCCTGGACAGACACAACCCCAGACCCTCCTCAGCACCTTCTCCCACCTCCACTATGAATGATAACACCAAAAGGCACCACCAAAAGCTCATCAAAAGCCCCCTTGGGGGCTTTTCCTCTGGGCAAAAAGCCTCCCTGGGTGCCCCCCTGGGAGCAGCACAGCACCAAGCCCAGCCCCCCAACCCCCTGGACATCCAGGCCCTGAATGCCCCCCCAGCAGCCCCCAGGCTGATCCCTCCCAGCACACAGGAGCAGCAAAGCTCCGTAACCAAACCCCTGCCCTCTGCTCTGCCAGGGATTAAATGTAACACAGGGCAGGAGGAAAAAGCCCTTCTCTTATGGCAGAATTCAGGGAAGTGCCCCTGGGAAGGGGGTGGATTGCTTCATCTGGGCCACCTCTCCTTGGTCCCATACCAAACAGGAGGGGTGGCCATGGCCACGGACACTGGCTGAGACTTTCTGCTCATCAGGGAGCAACAGGGAACCCCTCCCACTCCCCAGGGTAACACGAGGAGCAGTGACACGTTTTAGTGCCCTCAGATGTGAGTAAGCAAAAAGCCAGCAGGAGAAAACACCAGGGCTCCAGTAGAGGGTCAGGGAGCCAGGCTGTGGTGACATCTGTACCCAAACCCACGTCGGGAGCCAAGGGAGCAACAGACCCGGGCAGATTCATTTGGTTTTCTCTGCCGTGGCCCCTTATGAGGCACCAAACCCCCCCCGAGGGGCCTGGAGCTGCAGTGACAACAACAACACACCAAGTGTGTCCGTGTCCAGGCTGCGTTTGGCACCCGAGGGACAAACCCTCTCACCTCAATGCTGAGCAACAACAACAGCCCCAGGGGGGGCTCAGCGCCCACCCCAGGGGGGCTGGG